ATTTGCAGAATTATAATCTGCAGAATTATATACTTTGTAGGAACTAGTTAAATCCATTTCTCTTCCTGACTGCCCATCAACTGCCATCTTGACCAGAAACCCAGCTTAGGAGTTTAGTATTAATTCTATGTATGTTTGCTGAATATTGATATACTTAACAAGATGCACAAACAAATGTAAACAACAATACAGATTATTTTTACTAGATGGAGACTGATAACAATGAAATGTATGCAAGATTTTAGTTCTGTGCAGGAGGAACAAAAAAAACAACAACCCCACAATCAGAATCTGCTTGCCCGTCACATGACTTACTTCAACAAAGAAGGATGTGGGGCCTGATCACAGGGCCTGGGGACCTGAACGGTCAGTTGTAGGACGTAACCTCAAGAGGAAATGGAAAGCAAAGCTTTTACTGATCCTTCTACTGAAATCCAAATACACCAAGAGGGACAGAGAAGATGCTGAGGGAGGAGAGCAAAAGGGACAAGGAACCGACCCACAGAGGCACCTTCTAGGAATGGCTGCAGGAAATAGGGGCGGAACACAGAGCTGGGTCCCACAACTGTTTGTGAAACAAACTGAACAGTTGGATTTGCAATGGCAGAGTTTCCTAGGAGGAGGCAAGCCTCAGGGCAGGCCAAGCTCTTTGGAAAGGAAGCACAGATCAAGCCCTCGGACCGCTTCAGGAACAATACTCGGTTTCTAAAAGAAAAGACATTGCTCTGTGATTTGACTTGGGAACAACACCCCCCACCCCCACCCCAGGCCTCCTAGCCCTCCTCTCGGATCCGATCTGCTTCTGTGCTTGAGGAGAAAGACTTGGAAGCCACTGAAGGGCCAGTTTGTCTATTCATGGCTTCAGTGCCAGCATGAATGGAGCCTTTCTGCCCAGAGGGCCGAAGGGGCCATGGCTCTTTGCGCCATTGTAGACATCTGCTGCCCACAACCCTGAGGGCTTGTGTGGAGAACAGTCTTGCTCTGTGACCATTTGGGGCTGGTCGGTGGGTCCCAACTGGGGGCGAGGGCTGACTCCCCAGAGAAGAACAGCACCCCAGGAGCACAGAGTCATCCCTGCAGAGTTACTGATGCCAGGCTGGCCACTCGCTGCTTCCCCAGGCAGGCTGAGTCACCAAATGCCCGGCTCCGGTGAGAGGGTTTCCTGGCACTGCCTCTCTCTTACCTGGCGGATGCCTTCGAGCCAAGGTCTGGGCTGCAGCCCCCCCGCCGCCCTCTGGGCCCCCTAAGAACGTGCGGGGGAGGGGTGGGGGTGGAGAGTGGGGGTGGGGCACACTTTCTCCTGCGGATCAGCCCTCTGGAATGGCTGCCTGCAGTCAGAATGCAGTGTATGCAGATCAGCTGTCAGTTTGCATCATCGCTTTGGTGCCCCTCCTCAGCAGCAATGAGATAATCCTTCTGGAATGATCCTGCTCGCCACGTCAAACCCAGTTTGGAAATGCTGCCCCCCCCCACCAAAAAAACGTCTTTTCCCCTCACTGATCAGCTTAGGGTATAAAGTCTGGAGGGCAGCTTTGCTTTCGTAATGGCCCTGAAGGCAGCCCTCCAACGCCCCACTCTGGGAGGCCAGAGGGTGGTGTCCGGCTGCTGGCTTTTCTTCCGCCAGAAAAGAAAAACCGTGCTAAATACGCTTTGGGGAATTGTGCCTTGAGCTCATCAGAGCTTTGATATTCGTAGATATCTCTGGAGTGGCTGCCTCTCGCCCATCTTAGGTGGAAATGAGCAACTCTTTTGTTTCCTTGTCATTTATTTTTTTCTTCCTCTCTCCTGTCTTTCCAAAAACTCTCCCACGTCGGCTGCCGGATGGGCAGTGGAACTAAAATCACAACTGATTATCACAATATTGCTGCTCCGATTTGCTTTTTACTTGGGACCACAATTCCTAGAATTTCTAACTATACATAGAAATTACAGGAGAGAGAATCTTAACATCTCTAAAGGCCGTAATGGAGGCTGCCCATGACAGTTGTAGGTTGTGACGGTAATAAAGCAGATCATCACGTGATTGACCCAATTTTACAACTTTTTTTTGCAGTGGTAAACTCTGTATTTGTTTGGCAAAAATGTCGTAAGCCATGGTCTTATGCGCATAGGATGCCACAAACGACCCAAGATGAGGGCTGCTTGCCCAGCACCCTAAATGCCATTGCCTGACTGCGGGGTGGGGCAGCCTTTGGGACTTCAGAACCAGGTTTTAAGTACGTTTTTTGAGGGGAGGGGGTCCATTGTAACTTCAAATAGTCGCTAAAAAAAAGGTCATAAGTCAAGGACTACCTGTATAAAATAGCTTTCTGTCCTTTGAGCTGTGAGCCAAATCTTCCCCACAGATAATATTCTGTAATTCACTACTCCCCCAGCCACGCTTTCGAGCAGCTAAAGCAAAATTGTAGATCCTGGGCTGTTTTGAGCTAGCTTTAGAAGGAAAAAGGAATAGGTCACCTTGTTGAGCATTGTTAGGGTACCTGGCAACACATAGGAGACTGACGTAGTTTTTTCACCAAGGAAACTGACTGTTTCCACATAGTACAGGCCCTGCTAACAGCCTCTGCCTAGTTTCAAAATAGGTTTCCAAATATTATTCTGCAGCACGTAGAAAATGCATTGTAGAAATCCCCAACTTTCTAACTGAGACGTGATCATTGCACTGAGATCTGCTTCTACTTCGTGACTGGACAAAAGAGGATGGAATCCTAATATTGATTGGTATTTTCCTTGTATAGTAAATGTGACAATTTGATTACTGTGATTGGTTGATAGTTGCGACATTATTAGTATTACTGGAATGATAGCATTCTAGTTAGCAATTTTGTAGGATCAACTTAAACCCAATTGTCTTTTTACACAATTAACTAGGGCATTACTTAATTAGATTTCATTTATTTCAAAATGTTTGGGGCAGTTTTTTAAACATGTTAATAAAATATAAGTGTTTTTATGTAGCTACATATTTTTTTTGTTCAACAGCTGCCTTTATATTCCAATGAGCTGGGCAAAGGAGGTGAGGCTTTTTTCCATCAGAGATTTTGATTGTGTTTGCTGAGATGGTGACATAAGAGTAGTTCATAATTCTCCCATCCTCCCAGGGAAATTCCTGACACAAGTATGAAGACAACTTTCTTTGCAATATAGCAATTAAGCAAAGAACTCACAGGCAGTAATAATGAAAGCCAGAGCCTTTGCTCCTTAGCATTCTCCCCAATCTTCTTCCTATTGGAACTGCAACTTAAAAGGAGAGTCCTGATCCAAGATCTTTAAGTAGACAAACCGGAGGGCAAAATAACAGAATAACTGAGTTGGAAGGGACCTTGGAGGTGTTTAGCTCAAGCAGGAGACCCTATACCATTTCAGACAAATGGCTGTCCGATCTCTTCTTAAAAGCCTCCAACTTCTGAAGGCAAGCCATTCCACTAGTTAATTGTTTTCAACTGTCAGGAAATTTCTTTGTACAGCCATGCTGGTTTCTTCTTGCATTTCTTATTTTTCTTTTTCAGTGGTATTGTGCTGGACTGGGCTTTTATCATATTTCTTGAGTTGTTATGTTGGGCCCAGAAGATAGTTGGAAGATGAATTATTAATCAGTTGGATTGTTTAAAAGAAACTCTATGCAAAAGCCATGTCTAACGTCTAATGAAAGGAAATGATTTCAGGAAGGGAGAAGAGGGAAATCCTCTTCCAGGTCCCTTTTGTGATGGGAATTCAGGCTCTCATTTTGTCCAGGACTAGAAGTCTCAAGGGGATGGCAGAATGTGCAGGACCTTGGAGAGCTCCTACTGATCGCAAGGCTTGGCTTGACATGGGCTTGATTCCTCCAGAGCACACCTCTTAAGGACGGGCTCTGGGCCTAGCCCAGTGACTCCACCCCAAGAACATGGAGACTCACGTGGCCCTTTTTGGGAGAGGACGTTTATCATGCAGTTGACTTATTGTCTATGGATAGCTTCCAAGGACTTCAGTGGAATTTCCCTCACCCAGGTTGGTGTCGGGCTGGCTGCTGCTGCTCAGGGTTGACATCATGCACAGCCAGTCTTGGCAGGCAGTTGCTCTTTGGGAGCTATCATGGGGTAGATCATCACTTGTAGACCAGTCCTTGCAAAAAACATGTTACATTCCTTTCCCAAAGAATGAAGGGGAAAAAATGGAGAGAATTGTGCCTGTTTCTATGGATGTATCTCATTCACATTGGGAAATATGATAGTTTAGCAAAGTGAAATGGTTGACATTAGATACAAATAATTTATTTTTGGCATAAGAAGAGCCATTCAATGTGACAGGAGGCTTCTCTAGTCCAAAAGAAAAAAATCAGAAGGTTGGGAGAGGCCTTTTAGGCTCAACCCTCGTGCAAAGCAGGGATCCAAATGAAAACCTCCTCAAGAGATGGGGCTGTCCAGCTTTTCTCAAGCAGAACTAGGACAGGTTCTGCTATATAGCTGCTCTTATTGTTAAAAAGTGTTTCATAACATTCAACCTTTATGAGGGCGATACACACTGTCTTGGAGACAACTATGATATTACTTTGTTAGCTTGGTTTCCTGCAGATATCCAGGACTATTTGAGGGCCCTAAACCCCTTGAACTGGCTTTTTCTTAAATATACTGCTCACAAAAATAAAGGGAACGCAAACCCCTTCCGTTCCATGTTAAAATGTTCCCTTTATTTTTGTGAGCAGTATATTTATCTAAGGTGAAAATGGACTTGGGGTTGGAAGGATGTTTTTGTCTCTTTGATGGGGATGCTGCTTTTTATTGTTTTAAATTGCTGAACCTTCAGTGTCAGAAGGGCAGGAATGTTTCCAGCTGGCCTCTTGCTTAGCCCAACCGAAATGTCTCTGAACTCTGGATTTTCTGCCTGAGAGCTGTGGGAAACAGAGAATGTTTTGGCCCAAACTCATTGGTTCTTTTCATTTGCTTGGGTTTCGCCCAAAGTAGAGTACAGTGGTGAGATTCTACTTGTACATAATAGCATTCCTCACACAATGTGTATTTCCTTGGCAGATGTCATGGCGGCCACAATATCGCAGTTCCAAGTTTCGAAATGTCTACGGCAAAGTAGCCAATCGAGAGCACTGCTTTGATGGGATTCCAATTACCAGGAATGTCCATGACAACCATTTCTGCGCAGTCAATACCAGATTCCTCGCCATAGTAACAGAAAGTGCTGGTGGGGGCTCTTTTCTTGTCATTCCACTGGAACAAGTAAGTGACACTTTGCTAAAGTATTATTATTATTGGAACAGATCTTGGTTCATCTCAGTTTTCAGTCTGGGAAAGAAATTACTTTTGTTTTACCTTCTGCAAATATTTTTTTTGTGGAGGGATGAAACATATGAGGTGGGGGTGGGCACCACATAATAGCCAACCCAGGCAAGTCACTGCCTGAAGGCTGGGCAAAAATAGGGGAACGAACACTGTAGAGAAGACGTGGTGGAAGGGCGCCTTCCATAGAAGATCTCTTGAGGTGCCAACAGTTTGCGTTGTGATGCTCTTCGGGTCACTTTAAGCAGCTACCCGTGTCCCAGCCTAATCAAAGGGTGATTGTGAATGTAACATCAGGTAGAACCCAACATACAGGTAGTAACCAACTCATCTCCAGTCGTTTAGCAACTGTTTGAAGTTACAACGGATCTCCAAAAGCTACTTATGACCTGATTCCAAAGTTACGACATCCACAGAAATGGATGTCTTAGCCTGGGTCCAAGTTGTGCTGAATTCTCACCAGCTCTCCCCTCTGTCTGCTGGCCAAAGCAGCTGCTTCATGGCAGCTATATTGCAACTCTCCAGAGTGCGTTGGTGTCCCTGCCAACAAACTTTAAATGGGCATCCCACTGTGCATCTCCGTATATATTAGGAGGGTCATGGGGCTGGTTGGACAGCAGATGGTGGGATCATCACTGGTGCCAGGAAGGAGTGCTCAGGAGTCCTCAGTACCACTCTGCCACCTGCTACTTTTAATTCAGGCTGTCTGGATTAAAACCATGTCTTGTACACTGAGTAGCCCCTGAGCCTCAAAGGTGTCTTGGGGTGAAGCTTTTTCTTTCACGCACTTGGAATAGCCCCTCTCTCAAACACAGGATAACGTTCAGCCACACTGCAGTGGTTAACATGAATAAGATCTGGAAAAGCAGAGATATTAGTATAAATACAAAAAGCAGGCTAGTTAGAGCAATAGTCCCCTAATCATCTTTGTTGCTCTTCTCTGCACTCTTTCTAGAGTCTCAACATCTTTTTTACATCGTGGTGACCAAAACTGGATGCCGTATTACAAGTGTGGCCTTACCAAGGCCTTGTAAAGTGGTATTAACACTTCACGTGATCTTGATTCTGTCCCTCTGTTAATGCAGCCTAGCACTGTGTTGGCTTTTTTGGCAGCCGCAGCACACGGCTGGCTCCTATTTGTGGGCCTATATCTCAGGTGCCAGACTCTATGCCTGCAATTTTATGCAAATCATGGCAGGTAAATCTTTAGCCCTTCCTGATAAGACGGAGAAAATTCCTCTTGCAACCTCGGATAGCCACTGACTATTATGACTGCCTCCTTTGAGTTGAAAACTGAGGGAGGAAAAGCTGTTTCCAAAGTCAGCGGTTGGGGAAAGTGACCACATATTTAGGCCTTTTCATAATTAATGGGCGGATTGGGAAAATAAAATGAGTTTATCTCCTTTGCAATCAACTGAAGTCTCTTGAAGTGAGCAGCTTTCTAATTAATATGCGTCTATATTTAGCAGAAATAAATCAAGGTAACCTAGAAACTACTGAAAAGAACAGATTAAACTCAGAAATCTAACTTCCGTGCCATTATGTTCTTACTGGCTTTTATGAAAATGACTCCCTCATCATGACTCCCCTCCTCCCTGCCACGGTATTTCTTTCTCTTGAGGGAATATGTTCTCCTGCCAAGAGATCTCACACACACACACAGACACATACACACACAGACACACACACACACACACACACATATATATATATGTCCCTAATTTATATATATATAAATCCCAGCTTCCATGTGCTAATCAGGAGCCAAAAAACACCCACTCAGCACACTGCAAGCCAACTACAGAGACATTTTAAAAAGAAAAACTCCTGCAAGAAACCCTAAAAAAATGTGCCCAAGGGCGGCCAGTTCCTCCACAAAGACAGGCCAGAGAAGGATGGGGGCAAAGAGCCCACTGCCAGTCAGTCCTCCTGCACCCAAGGATTGTGGCCTCAGTCAGGCAAGGACGTGGGGCAGCCTGTCAGCAGGCAGAGCTCACACAGTATTTGGGGAAAGAGTTTCTTTCTTTGGAAAAATATATGCCCACATCTTATCTGCCCCCGTCTGCCTTCCATCCATCTATCTATAAAACGCTGGATCTCCTTCTCTCCATCTCCAGTCAGTTCAGTTACAGGAGGTGCTGAGGAAACTTTCACCTGGGGAACCAACTGATGGCCTAATTGGCGAATGGAAGAGGGAAAGAAATGGCATGCAAGAGCTCCTTTTTCCTATGTTGTCAGCCGGTGCTCTCTGTAGTTGTGTGTGCATTTATGCGCACATACACAGAAAACAGCCAGCTGGATTTGCCTTTGCTCTTCCTGGCTGTGGTTTCTTCTGGTAGTGAGGAAGAAAGATTCAAAACCTGGAATGGCTACAGTGGAAGGTTAGGGTGGCGCCTTCAGAGGATCTGCCCTCAGTAGGGAAGGTGGATGAGGCAGGAATTCATCCAGAATTACAATGTTTTCCCCAGAAAGTTTTACCAGTAGACATTCTGTTTAGCTGAATGGAGCACTCAAGACTTTAAAAGCCAAACTAGACAGAGTGTTGTGTGAATGCACCAAAAGGAACATACATATATTGAAATAGTTTGCAGCCATAGGAAGAGAAGCTTTAAAAAGGGAGCTGGTTGCAATAGGGCCGTTCCTGAAATGCAAATAACATGTTTTGGAGTTAACGGGAGATTGGCAAGGCAAGAATAGTTGCATTCCTCCCCCTTCCCATCCCTGCTCAGCCTCTGCTCCGCTGCTCTTTGCATAAGAAGATTTGGCCTCGTCCACATTGCAGGACTAAAGAGCTGGTATTTCCCGCCGTCAGTGGTCACTCTGGGTTTAAAGAACTGCCGTCAAAGAAGCCATTCTCCTCCTCCTCCCCTTTCTCATGGCGAGAGAGCCGAGCCGATCTCTCTCCTCTTTCTTGCTGCCTGTGGAAAAAGGCAGCCTCGGTTGCTGCCCTGGAGGGGAGGGCAAGTGTAGGGTCCAGGTCAGAGGCTTTAGAAACATTGTAAGTTGATAGCTCACAGGTGCACAAATACTGGTAAGCTGTCATTTTAGGTGGTCCTGAACCTTCTGATCATCTCTAAGATTGGGCACCCTCTGCCCCAAATAGTCCAGAGCAATGTTTCTCAGTCTTGGCAGCTTTCAGATTTGGGTGGGGGATTCTGGGAGTTGAAGTCCACACGTCTTAAAGTTGCCAAGGTTGAGAAACACTGGTCCAGAGGATGGAAAAGTATAGAATGAATCTCCTGCACACCTTCCAGCCCCCCCCCCATTGCAGTATTTTTGACAGAGGTTTACAGAAAACGGGTTAATAATTTTGAGGCTGTTTCTGTCACTCAAGTTACCAGGAGAAACCGGCAGACTCCAAATTGCTAAGTGGGAAATTGGCAAGAGGCTGCAGCATCAGCATCCCTTGGAGTCTGCAAGATAGCAATAGCACTTAGACTCATATAACGCTTCACAGTGCTTTACAGCCCTCTCAAAGCAGTTTACAGAGTCAGCATGTTGCCCCCCCCCCAAAAAAAATCTGGGTCCTCATTTTACCGACTTCAGAAGGGTGATGGGAGGATGGGGTCAACCTTGAGCAGGTGAGAATTGAACTGCTGGCAGTTGGCAGAATTAGCTTGTAATACTGCATTCTAACTACTGTGCCACCACAGCTCTTCTAAGATGGTCTTAGCCTAGGTAAAATGGCATTTGGGGAATGGGGGGGGAGGGTGGTTCCTTCCTAGGGCAGCCAGCAGGGGCAAGCAGTGCCCACATCAGGATCAGCTGAAGTTCATGAACTGCTGAGTGGCACCTGTGCCCGATCCGCAGGGTCCTTCCTTCTCAGGGACAGCAGCCCACAGGAGGCCAGAGAGGTGCTTTGTGGAGTGAAGTGTGCTCAGTCCTGCTGCCCAAGGCTAAAAGGCCCTGCAGAGCAACTCTCAAGGATGGGGGTGGGGAGGGTCTCCATACCAGCTAGTCAGAGTGGAGCCTTTGCCTATGGCAAAATGATAGCCTGCACAGCTTTGCATGCGACACATTCTTTGACAGAGCTCAAGAAAATGCAGGTGACACCCCCCCCGCCCAGCTTAGGGGCAGAATGGGGACGGCACGATGCGTTGCTGTCCTTGAAAAAATGGTTAGGGGATATCTTTGTGCCAGGGAAAGCAGGTTCTCAAGCCATTTATCCATGCAAGGAAGGGAAAGTTACTTAGAGCCTGAGATGAGTAGCCCTTGCTTTTGCTGCTTCTGGCAATAAAGCCTCTTTCTCTGATGCCACAGCAGCAGCTGCAGAGTTTGAGTGGAGGAAGGGAACAGATGGAAGGAGACACCATCTTTAGAGGGAAGAAAAAAAAGTCCTTCTGCCTTTAAGATCCTTTGGGGAAATATAATAGTCTGTCCTTTTCATACCCCCCAAAATATTTCTTTTTCTGACTTCCTACAGTATAACACGGAGTAATTGATCAACCCTTTCTTGATTATGCCATAAATTGAAGGGTTCACTCCACGTGTTCCAGGCCCACGAGCACCCTCTGCTGGTTTCAATGGTTAAAGATAGTTTTGCTCTGTAAAGATAAGCTTTTATTTAAGATTCAGAGAGTAAGATATATGGAGTGCTTTATTTTGCCTGTGCATTGTTTGAATAAAGCCTGGGAATGATGCTTGTTTTGAAATAAGCACGCCTGGACTGTATACAGCACTTTCTTTTGTAATCTGAAGGCGCACAGTAATGCTTCCTGCGTTGTGCTCTCCTGCTAATGTGGCAATTTGCCAGGAAGAAAATTATTTCCATTTTGATCTGAACAAAGGACATCCCTGTTCAGCCAGCTCACTGCGGCCCCGCCTAGTTCAGCATCTTTCACAACAGTGACCAGTCAGGAAATGTCTTCACGTCTCAAGTTTTTTCTCCAGCAACTCATCCTCAGGAAGACAACCAAGAGTCAGGAGGAGAGCGATCCTTGGGAGCAAGACAGGAGGCGTGTGAGAGGGAGACACAGGCCCAAGCTGCTTGTTCCAGTTTGAGCTCTTTCTTAGTAAGAGGCCACTGAGCCTGGTTTTATTCTAAAAGCTTACCGACGCATAGCTTTTCAAGGATGTTCCATTAATTTCTCGATTCTGCCCATCTGCCATATCTGTGCCATCGTCTACTGTTTCCTTCAGCTTTGCCAAACATAATCAGTCCTGCTCTCACTGCCTGGCAGGGTAGGATGGGGGGGGGGTGAGAAATAGGCAGGGGACATATTGCAACGTCTCTGCGGTCGGTCGTAAGGGCAAACGACTGCTGAGGTGGTGCAGTATATGTAACTTCGGGACTGGGTCGTAAGTACTTTTGGGGGGGGTGTCATATCTGAACTGTCATAATTCAAGGAATACCTGTATACACATATTATCTCTTCTAGTTGAATACTGATTAATATATTACTACAGTTAGTTCCCACCCCTTGCGAAACAAGCCCTCCCAAAAATTTTAAACTACTAAATCTATTAGCAACTTGTTGACCTGTCTTCTATATGTTATATTAGTGACAAAGTAGTTAGCAGGGAAAACAATAATAGTAAAAGAGAACAAAATTAAAGTTTACCATGGCATCTTAACTCTACCGGACCATCCCAAAAGTTATAAATAGATCATATCGGGTCCAAAATCCATGTTTGTTTCTTAATATCCTCTCTTGTCAATTGTTGTTTAATTAAATGTAATAAATTCAGTCTCCAGAATATGTCTATCTTTGAGTCAGAGTGCAAGCAGAAGTAGTTACCAGTTTACTGTAATAAATCCATCCAGTCTCCCCATGTTGATTTTATATTGATAGTTATCTTATTGACTCTATAGGCTTTGATGATCCTGGATGTTTGATTGCTTTTATTACAGACTGGCCGAATTGAACCAAACTACCCCAAAGTCTGCGGCCACCAAGGCAACGTGCTTGATATTAAGTGGAACCCCTTCATTGAAAACATCATTGCTTCTTGCTCCGAAGACACTTCAGTAAGTAAAGATGATTACATAAATAGTATTTTGGGGAGCTAAGTGCCGAAAGTAGATACACTGGAATCTTTTCATATTTGACGAACCTCTTCCTTCGTGGTTTACAGGTCATCCAAGAGGCTGTCATCAGTTTGATGACTTCTTAGGCCAGGAAACATCTGAAAACAACTGATCTGAAATAATTCCTATAAAAAACCATTCCTTTTATGTAATAGGCTTTTCACTGTATTCCATCATGTTTTATAACATTCTTACATCACTATGATAAAAAAGGACAATTGCAACTTTAAAAATAGTTGTACAGATTTTAAAAAAAGAATTTACTCAGTAGCTGCTTATGTCCATTGCCCTGGAAGGGAGCTAGGAGAAAGCGCAAAGCCCCACGCTATCTCTTGTGGTTCCCTTGATTTTCTAAGCACCCTGAGTGGGGGGAAGGAGTCGAAAATAGTTTTGCTAGAGCTTTGGTGATCGGGATCTTCTGACAAGGGATGAAATGGACCTGCTTGGAAAATAGGTCAGTCACCACCCAAATGTCTTCTCCTATTATCAGGAGCCTCCGTGGCTTGAAGATCACAGGCCCTCCAAGGAATCAGAACAACGAAAGGTTGAAGAAGATGCAGCAGTTTGTGGCTTCAGTTATATTAGGTTGCCTGATTATACAAGGTGCCTCCTTTTCCCAAGTATTTGCTGGCAGGCAAGGGGTGATTCTCTGTCCAGGGAGTTCACAGGTTACAATTTAGGGCAGATCAGCCATTCCCCCCATCCAAAGCCTGGCGTGATGGCTACAAGGTAGTAGCAGCTCTCAGTAAAGGATGCGGTTACATTAAAAAGATGGACATTTTAATTTCTGCCCTCCCAGGGATATTCACCAGGAACAAAACATTCAAGATGGCAGCCATGACTGTGTGCTCCTACCATGCACGCAACACGTGTAAAAATGGACAGTGACAATTGCATGGTTGTGGGCACCATTTTGATTTTTTTAAAACGCTCCCACAGATGCTCCTGTGCCGACTTCTTATATTCTCCTTTGCAGTCTGAAGGGTGACTAAAGAGTTTGTATAATTATGGCAGGCCAGAAAAACCTGAGCCGGCATCTTGTGGTATAGGATAAATTGTTCTTTGCGCTCCTGACTTTTCTTTGAAGTCCCTCCTGTGCTGGAAACTCCAAACTGGGCTACCGAGTTGGACGGGGCCAGCCTTTTGCAAAACATTAAGCAATGTGTTTTTGAACCAGAATTTATTAAATAAATCAAAATTGGTTGAGCTCCATGTTAAATCATAAACTGTGCCTTTCAAATCATAAGACGTGGAATCCTGGACTCAGGGAATCTGAAGCCAGCGAACCACGTAGTGCTTTCATGCTTGTGTGAAGTTGGCTGCTTTCCTGCTCTGAGAGCTGCTGCAGCAGACCTTCTTCACCCCCTCCCCTCCCAAGGTCACCTGCCTCCCTGCAGCAGAGGTGGGGCTCAGAGTAAGTGATGGGCACAGGCAAGAGGGGGAGGGGGAGGGGGAGGAGCTTCCCAGGGAGCAGAGCTGGCCAAGAGTTCTGTACCACTCTGGGTGGCAGGGCCCTTCCCTCCCTCCCTCCCTCCCTCAGGTGTGTCCATGGACAGCATCTGCAGGTGGTAATCAAACCACTGTTGAATTATCAGAGGGCCCAGAGCAGTTATAAAGGAGTCCAGTGAGATGCCTGGAGGAGGAAGGAAAATCTCCAGAGGCCAAGTATTTTCAGGAGATCTCTAGGTTTCCAGGAAGTCTTGACAGGCTCATTTTAAAAAGGCAGATGCTTCCAGATGTGCTGGAATGGATAATTTAAAGCCACACACACACACACACACACACACACACACACACACCGAGCTTCTCAGGCTCAGCAGGCTCGGCAGGCCTTGTCTGGTGAGGTGGAGAGGCCGAAGGCTCGGCTCACAGCAGCCGTTGCTCTTTCGTCCTTCCAGGTTCGGATATGGGAAATCCCAGACGGAGGCTTGAAGCGCAACATGACAGAGGCTGTGCTGGAGCTGTATGGCCACAGCCGGCGTGTTGGCCTCATCGAGTGGCACCCAACCACCACCAACATCCTGTTCAGTGCTGGATATGACTATAAGGTAAATGGGTAACCATCCCGAGCGGTTGGGATGTTCTTGAGAGCAAACGTCTTGGGCGAGTTTCGTTAAGGCTAAGGAGAACAGATGCTATCAGAATTTAAAGGAGCTGAATTAGACTCCCAGCCAGCTTGGGAGGCTCCTAAAAAAGAGCTGGGATGATACAAGGAAGAAAGGTGGTCAAGAGCCCCTTCCCCGACCCCAAGAGCTGAAGGGTGTGGGCAGAGCCCAGCAAAGGCCTCCCCTTCTCCCCCACCCCACTTGGACATGACAAGAACGTAGAACACAAAACAATGGAGTTGGAAGGGACCTTGGAGGTTTTCTAGTCTCCTCCTGTGTGGTTTCCTGCCTGACTCATTTGAGCAGATTATGTTAGGAAGAAAAATCAATTTCACTCAGAAGGTCCCTATTTTCAGCCTCTCCTCTTAGCATAAAGAACCATCCTGAAGGTTATTCACTGGAGCATATATTTACCCTGGGAGCTGATAGGCAAGACTTGCCTGTGCTTCCAATGGAACCCATCAGTCATTCAGCCCCCTTCCCCCCCCCCCCATAGTATGAGCCCAGGCCACCCTCTGTCTGCTGAGTAGAACTCTTTGGAATGGAGACTGCCGACTGCGGAGGCAAACTCTACTTTGAAGACTTCAAAGTGTCTGCTGAAGGGGTCTGACCTTCAACTAATTTACCATTTTGCTTTGTCTGTTGCCAAAGTTTTACACGCTGTATAGGCTGTTAGGGAGGCACGTCGGGTTGGCTGGGGCATGAGCCAGGCGTGCCATGCTTAATCCTTAGTCTCTACTTGGAGAACCTTAACACAAGTCCCCTGAAATGGAGGGTTTCCAAATGATGCTGTGATGGCGCAGAAGCTCTCTTTAGGAGAGCCTTTTGCTTTTGTATCTAGTTGTTTTAAAGACTAACATCCTCATGCTTGTGGTTGATCGCTTTATCACTCTGGGAGATGTTCTGAACCATCAAAACATTCAAAATATCTTAAATCAAAAACAGACAGTGTTGTGCCCAATTACACCGGAAGCATGAAAGTAACTCGACCTTTTCAGGGAGCTCGCGAAAAGCTTGATTCTCTCTTGATTTCCCGAAAGGTTGCTGGTTGCCAAAAAAGTTTAGATATCAGATAGCGATGAGCTGGATTTATTTTCTTGTTTACCATTCCTTCATGGTTTTAGCTATAGCAGGAGGGAGAGGACATTAAAGTATTTTCTGTGAGATATCTGTAAGCAAGTCGGTTTCTGTTTGATCTGCATCTTCTCTTTCTCAGATCCTCATCTGGAACTTAGATATTGGTGAACCGGTGAAGATGATTGACTGCCACTCTGACGTCATCCTTTGCATGTCCTTCAACACAAATGGCAGTTTACTCTCCACCACTTGCAAAGACAGGAAGCTACGGGTCATTGAGCCACGTTCAGGCAAAGTCCTCCAGGTGGGAGCTTCTTTGGAGGGCCTAGACCAGGAGTATGCTATGCTGGCTCAGGAATTCTGGGAGTTGAAGTCCACAAGTCATAAAAGAGCCAAGGTTGCCTACCCCTGGCCTAGAGTCTAGACAGACAAGAGGTGGAGGAGTTTGGTCACCTGGCTAGGTTTTTTTTAAACAGCCACCAATAAGGAATGATGCCTCGTTGTGATCACAATGGTAGATACCGAAGAGAGGGCATATAAACTTGTTCAGATCTATCTTCCCTGCCTAATTCTCCTCTGAATAATGGTTTCAGTTTGAGACAGGGGCATTTCAGGTTAAGGAAATGGTTGAAGGAAAAAGCCTTCAACCTCCCATCCCCTGTAATAAATTTGCTGATCAAAATCACTGGCTGAAATTGCTAACTGAAGTCAATTTTCAGTAGAGAAAACCAAGATTTCACTGCATCATATAATTTAAAACTATTAAAATGTTGCTTTAATTTTTTATTATGCATAGCATTGGATGATCTTGTTTTAAGTTCTGGGAATTTAAAATGATATTTTTGGATGGTGATTTTTTTTTTAACCATTCCAATAAAGGAGTAGCCAGCTTTCTGAGTCAATGATGTGTTTGTTTTCATAGGAGGCAAACTGCAAGAATCACCGTGTGAACCGTGTGGTCTTCTTAGGGAACATCAAGAGGCTTCTAACAACTGGTGTGTCACGCTGGAACACCAGGCAGATTGCTCTCTGGGATCAGGTTAGGAAAACAATTGCATGTTTGTGCAAAGTGTGAGGTGAAAGGCCCAACGAAACAACACAAAAATCTCCTTTTACAACATCATTGAAGAGAAAGACTTCTGCTTGCCTCTTTCTTAATGTGTTTCCCTGAAAATAAGACCCGATCTTATTTATTTATTTTTGCCTCCAAAAGAGGCAAAATTGACAAAATGTTTGTTTATTTTGCATTCTCCCAGGAAGATCTATCCATGCCACTGATAGAGGAAGAGATTGATGGATTATCAGGCCTTCTCTTCCCATTCTATGATGCTGACACCCACATGTTGTACCTGGCTGGCAAGGTACGTGAGGCTTGCTTCTGAGCATAAATGCTTGCATTGCAGAGAGCATGTGGTATTCTGCAAATGTTCTGCACTGTCCAGGATTTGCTGGGAGCGAAGCATGCGTACACACATTTACACTCACTCAAAACTGTATTCATTCATCTAGAACTGGGCACAAGGACCAAAACCTACATGCAAAGATCTCATGTGAAATTTTAATCTATCTAGACACAGGCCTATCTTGGGCTTTTGGGGGGTACCAAGTTGTCCATCTTCGATCTAATATGTCAACCAGTTTAATTCCACATTTAAATATTGTTTATAGTTTTATGTATATGCGTTCTTAGAATTAGTTTTGTTGAAATTCATACAACTTGTTTTCTCTCCCTTAAAGTCATGAGGGGAAGTAAGTTAGATGAAACTAATAAGATCACGTAAGGTATGTAAAAGTGAAGAGAGACCAATTCACTGGTGCTTAGTCTTGGCAAGTTCAGTGAATTGTGGGTAGAGTTAGGTGTATTAGAGAGAGCTGCTGCTGCAGTGGGCTGACTTTTCCATTTACTTCACTCTGTTGATGCTCACTCTTAGGGAACTATTTCAGAGAAATATCCACAGTTTCTATAATTTAATTTAATAACAGATTAAATTTGTTTGCCATCCATCTCGCTGCAAGGCAACACAATGGAAGGAATGTGTCTTTGGTCTGGAAAGACAGATAAGGAGGTACTGAGGACCGTCCCCACCAAGTGGAACGATGTAACCCAGCTGGATCTGAGTCTTCCTCAGAGCGAAGTTGGGCTTTAAAAGCAGAGATTAGGAATATGGATACACATTGGCCATCCCCTTGTTTTCTGACAGGCATAACATTTAATTGAATCTAGCCTGATTAGTGATAAATAACACTTCTTTAAGTACTTTTGAGGGATAGTAACTTGACCTTTAGTTCTTATCACCCAGCCTTAGTTTTTCTGCCCTAAAATGAAATACCTCACAAAACTGCTGTGAGGAAAAATGAAATTCTAAAGGAAGCTGCTATAAACCTGTTGACAGTATTGACCAATGAATGTCTGACTGTGAGTTCAAACAAAACAAACGTGTTCCAGCTTTTGAATTCTCCACAGTTCTTCATTTCAAACAACAAAGCTTGGGAGCCCTCAAAAGCTTGTGACATCTTTTCTGCCACTGTCCCAGTAATGGTCTTGTCTGATTAAAGATGTTGTCTTCTCACATTCCAACAGGTCTATTTTTTCTTATAAACAAATTCATAACATTCAGAGGATGCCTCTGATTTATCTCTCCTCTTCTTGTTCTCTCCTCAGGGAGACGGGAATATCCGCTACTACGAAATCAACACGGAGAAGCCATACCTGACCTACCTGATGGAGTTCCGTTCTCCAGCCCCACAGAAAGGCCTTGGTAAGGGGTGCTTATTGTCTGTTGGACTGTCTAAAAGAAAAGATTGAGATACAGAGAAAAATTATCCATGGTCCTTCTGCTACAGCTCCACAAAGTTCTTATTCTCCTAAAGAAAAGAATATATGTAGCTCAAGGTTGAACTGTGGAGTTCCTGGTGCTCACTTGCACGGATGATGTTACCTGATTGGGCAATGAATCATCTGCAAGCAAACAACCAAGCTGAGAGAGCATCAAGAACTCCGTGGTCTCTTTCTTCTGTCACGATATATTTCATCAAAGTCATTCCAAGCTCCTTTTCTTTTAGTCAGTGTTTTTCAGAGCTTCTCTCTCGCCATGTTTTTTTCAGTTTAGTTTTCCAATCTTCATCTTTCCTGTCTTTATTCCCACTTCCTTCCTGCCCCAACAGACTTG